CCCCGGCCCCGCGCCACACTCACTGCTCTCGGGTCCCCAGCGCCGACGGGGCGAAGCCTTCCGCTCCCGGGCTACGCCCCCGAGACCGCGCCTCAGGAGCTGCGCCTCCGCCACCCGCGCCCGCGCTCATGCCGACCCGCACCCAGGACGGCCGCAGCGACGGCCATAGAGGCGCGCCGCGGGCAGAGCGAGCGTCGGGCCGGCGCTTCTAGGCGTCGGGAGGCCTTCCTCTCGACTGCTCCCGTCCCGCGCCCGGCGCGGCTGGTAGGCGGGGTCGGCCGCGGGCGGTCCTACGCGCCGCTTCTCGCCCCGCCTTCGTCACGACTAGGGGTTCCCAAGTATAGCTCTGGGTCCCTCGGAGCCTAGCCTCCCTCCCTTCCCTGGCGGCCTGCGGAGAGGCACCTCCTTCATCCAGGAGCCCGCCCAAGCGCCACCATATCTGGGGGTCATTTATAAGGGGCCATTCCATTTTGGAATGTATTGCATTTTGGAAAAAGGCTGGCTTGACCCCAGCGCTGCTCCACCAGAATGCTCAAGTCACCTGGCCGCTCCTGCCAGGTCTTGGGGACAGCTGCAAAAGGGGTGGGACTATGAACCCAGGCCTCCTAGCCTCCAGCTGCCTTAGGTTGCCCATCTCTATCGAGCCAGTAGGGATGGTGACTACTTGTTCTCAGTGATTGCTCCCCACCAGCGAAGATGAGATTCATCCCCCTTGTGGTCTGACTGCCTTCAGTAGTTCTGCAGTTTAATGCGATTGATCTTACGGGCTTGCAAATTGATGCCAAATGGTTAAAATGTCTCAGACCCTAAAGGACAAGACCAAGGTCGGTCGAGACTTAGCCAACTTTCTCTCTGAGTTTTGCTTTTACAGACGCGGCAGAACCTGGACCTATGGGGCATAGGCTCAGCAAGTAGAAGCCAAAGTCCTGGCGCACAAGGTAGGTGGAACCAGCACTCAGAGGTAGAGGAGGCTACCCAGACGCAGGTCACAACAGAACTTCGCAACTCCATGATCTGAAGAAAAGCTCTCTCATGCTCATGTACGAACTGCCCTGTGGCTAGCCCGTGAACTTTTGCCAAGTCCACATCTTTTCAACCTAACCCACTTTTTAGCCAATCAAATCCTTCATTTTCAACTCTGGAGCCCAAAACCTCAGTAACCTCATTTCTGAATCAGGTATGTGTTTGTCTCCTAATTACTTGCAGTCTATTTGTAAATAAAGCTGATTTCTCAAAACCCTTCTGTCCTTACCTGATCTATGCAGATGGGGTAGAGAATCAACTATTTGCTAACAGGCTAAAGAGGGCTGGGGGGAAGAAGTGGCCCCTACAAGCAGCAGTGAGGTGCTTGCTTACAGTCCAGTGCCCTAGGCAAGAATCTCAAGGCCCTGGCAAGGCTGCCTTCCCAGTGAATGGAATGTTTCCTAGGCCACATTTCTGTTGTCTTGGCCAACAGAAGCCCAATAACAAGTCCCCAGAGGTAAACAGCTCGACAGTTGCTGTTCCAGCACACAGAAATCCCGCCTCGCAGTGAAAGTGCTTCTCCTCCTCTACAAGATGCCCAAGATCTTCAGGCCACCACTGGTGAGACAATATGGGGAAAGACAGATGGGAACCCATGTGTATAGTGATTACAGAACTCAAGAAAAAGCGTAAGTAACTTTATTACAGAGCAATAAACCACCGGATGCCACAGCCAATTAGTGCTGCCCTAGGCAAATGGTTGTTTTGATCTTTTCTAGACTCTAGTTGCTGGAGAAAGCAAGCTTGAATGTGGCTGAGTGGGTCTTAAAAAGTTTTAGGTTCTAATTAAGAAGCGTTCATGAAACATAAGGCCGTCTTCAAGCTGGTGTCTTGCCAACACTTTAAGATGTTTTTGCTGTGTGTGACGAACACTATAAACAGTTGCTGGTATGGGGCCCAGGAAGAGGTCTCAGTTTATACAGAATTCCTTCTCTGGCTCCAGGATTACTCTGACTGTTTAGTCCTGAAGGCTGTGTGGCCCCCCACCTCTGATCACCCAGGGCAACGGGGTTCTGTGGGAAGGGGTGGCGATGCTCCATCTGAGGAGAGCTGCCCATCACCAGGGAGAAGCTGTGCTGTGCCAAGGAACACAGTCCCTCCCAGTGGGTGCCCCTCAGATGAGGCGGGAGGCTAAGCCCTCCCTGGGTTGCCTCTCTCCCTCCCCTCAGCCTGGCCCCCTCCTCATCTCCAACTAAAACTGTGCCTTCAGGATTCTCCAACACTTCCCAACCTACAGCCTTTACCTTTGCCCCCTCAAGGTCACGTAGCACATGACTTCTAGAGAGCCCGGCGTTTCCCCAGGGAGTGAGGTTTGGAAAAAGGGAACTCCATGCCCAGCTCTGCAGTTGAACTGCCAAATTTTGAACCCCGGCCTTAGTAAGCATGACCACGAGCCAGTTTCCTAGCCCGTGTGCCCACCCTCATAACCAGAATAATAGCACCCACAAGAAGACAGCTGCAGCGATTCACAGAGATCAGCTGTAAAATCCGACATGCCTTTACCTTTACCTATAAATGCTAGATCAGTTTCTTCTACTATACAATGGAGAGCAAAGTGGGTCTACCTCAGGGGGCTGTTAGCAAGGTTATATAAGCTAATGCACTGTACAGGTAAGAGCTCAGGAAGACCCGACACCGGGTGTCTATAACTGCCAGCGACTGTTCCGAGTGACTTCTGTTCTCTATCTTCAGCTTTCACTGCGGCCGCCTAGAGGGCCCTTGCTACATTAAACCCATCCTCCTCAAAACTGGGCTTGGAGCCCCCAAACCTCCAAGTCCTCTCTTCCCTGTTCAGCTGGGTCCTACCTTCCTTCCATCACCGAAGTCTTGTCCTTACCTCCTCCTCCTGCCCAAGGTGCATCACCTTGCTTCCCCAGCCTCCGGACTCAGGGGCACCTTCACATCCTGCCACCCCTGGCTGCCTTCCAGCACTTCTAGGCTGACTGCTCACTGGGGCCATTGCAGCAGCTTTCGAAAAAGCTTCCAGGAGCCATCTGGCTCTGCGCCCCGCCTCAAGGCCCAACTATGCCCATTCCCCTCTTCTTCCAGGAAGGCCTCCAAGACTCAACCGGGACTTCTCTCTTTAGGCCTGATTCACACCAATGTTGTATGATAATGGAGTAGGCAGTCAAGCCAACTTGGACTTAGGCCTGATCTTGGGTGAGTTACTTAATCTAAACCGCTTCTGTCTTGGTTTCCTCAACTTCACAGTGAGCATAATCCATATGAAAATGGGCCTCTTGTTCCCACTTAGTTCAGACCCATCCCAGCAGTATGTCTCATTTGCATGCACCATGTTTCAACAGGCAGCTGTAAGTGGAACCTACCAGTCGTATTGTTTGCAACTTGCACTCACTTGATAAAATATAGCTACATGATATACTGGGAGGTGTTTTGTCAATGCCTATAGATCCCTTTTAGATTTTAAACTACTTCCTGGTAATAAAACATTCACTGTGCACCAGGGACTATGTAGGCATCTATTAGGTTATTTATTAATAGCTGCGTGAAGCAGACTGTATTATCCTCATTTTACAGATTAGCAAACCAAGCCACAGGGAGGTTCCCAAGGACACAGTGAGTTTAAGAAGAGACCGAAATCCAAGCAATCTACCATAAAGTCTTCCAACTTTACCACTCCATGGCTGAACTCTGTCACTCTAGATGTTTTGCTGAAGGTGTTCAGGAAGAAGTTAGCACAGGGAATTACATCACATACACACAATTCCAGAACCTAAAATTCCTATCTTCTCCTTTTTCTCTGAAGTCCAGAATCCCACGCTAGCTACTCAGCTGCCCTTCTTTACGCCGTCTCCTTCTTCCACAGACATTGCCACTCCATCTGATTCTCTTTTCTCTCTCATCTCCACCTGAATTCCAAATTGTTTCTCCACTGGGCAACCCGAGGCCCTCCTAATCAGTAAGCTTACTCCTTTTCTCAGCTCCTGTCTCCAGAACCCTCTAGCTCGATGCTAGGGGACCTCCCATGGTCCTCTAGCACCTTTTCATGCAACATTCACTCAATATTCATGTATTGTGTAACATCTACTGCCATTGCATTATTTCAGATGCCAGAACTACTACAGTAAGCAAATCAAAAGTGAATCACTGCCTTCATGATGTTCAGAACATGTTGGTGGAGGGAGAAAGAAAATAGGTTGGAAAAATAAGTAAAATAAGGGTGATGTTAGACAGTACTAAGTGGTAAGGGAAAAATTAAAAGAGGGAAGGAACATTGAGAATGTTGGGTGAGGGCTACCCCCCTGGTGAGGGGCAGGGCCAGCTACAAGACTCTGTACCCTCTGTGGGATATGATGGGAGATCTGGAGAGTTCCACTGGGGAAGAATTCTCTGGTTGGTAAGTGAAACCCTAAGAAATTGCCACAGGTTGTGTCCCAGGGAAGGAAAGTCTAAGACTGAAATGAACCTGAGAGATGGTGACTGGCAATTCCTAACAAGATCACCGCCTGTTAGGGAGGAGAAAGAAACAGGATGGACAGGGATGGCAGCTGGGTGGGCCCTCGCTGCAACTGAGCCTCAGCTGATCCCAACTGTCCTCATAAGACCCTATGAAGCTGGGCTGACCTCTGGGGAAGTGCCCCAAGTGAAAGTGAAGGTGCTGGGCTTTTATTTGTCTACAGTCCATGCAGTGAATACTTGTTGCCCTGAAAAGCAGGATTAATCTTGGATGATGAGACTCTCCTCCACTGAGAATAATTTCAGGAGGCCTATAGCTGAGAACTGTCAGCTGACAACCTCCTACGCAACTGGGAAGAATTCAATCAGCCTCAGAAGGGGACGCCTGGGTGGCATACCACAGCATCTAGACAAAGATAATGGAGTCAATTTTGCGCTATCAGGGAGAAGAGCATTCTAAGCAAAGGGAAGAGCAAGGGGAAAGGTCCTGAGGTAAAGAGATAGGGACAACCAGGAAGCAAGGAAGTGGAGGGAAGGTTGGGGGTAGAAGCAGCAAATGAAGTCAGACAAAGAAGCCTGGTAATTGACTGGAGTGTTGAGAATGTATTTGGCAGGGAAGTTTCTAGATTTTAGTTGCCATTGGCATTTTGACAAGGGAAAACTTGGGGGTGGGGGCAAGGTGGAGGAGGCTGTGGGCTGTTTAGCAGAACCCTTGGCGTCTGACATCTAGATAATGCGGGTGAATTCCTCCCCCAAGTTGTGACATTTAAGTATGTCTCCAGACATTGCCAAATGTCCCTCACGGGCCAGAACAGCCGCTAGTTGAGGCCCCTAAGGCAGCGCCGTTACAATGACCCAGGAGCTTGAAGGCAAAGGCTTGGAGCACCACCATCGGTGGACCAGTGATGGCGAGTTGGAGGATTCTGGATAGATTGTGAAAACTGTGCTGATTCATCAAATGTGAGCAAAGAGTGTGTGTGTGCGCCCCGAAGATTTTGGGGCTTCACACCTGTCAGAGCTTGTAAGGAGTGTAGTGGAAAGAACTTTGGGAGAGGGCAATCAGGAGCCCAATCTGAAACGAAAAACTGAGCGAATGGAAGAACAGTGGTTGCAATGCTAGTTCCTTTGCTGGGTTTCTTGTCCTAACTTTGTTATAGTTTTAGCTACCTGTGACTTATGTGGTTTTTCTTTAATCTTCGTTTTCATTAAATGTGCGCTTTCGGCTTTCGAGTCCAATCTGGTCGGTGCGGCGGCACCTGTTCATCTCCGACCACCGCTCACACCTCGCGCCGCCTGGCCGCGGGATGGGCAGGCACCTCCTCCCCTGTGCTCCCTCCCGGGCACCACTTCTCCGCCTGGCCGCAGCCCAAGTGGCCACGTGAAAGCTGAAGTCACCGCATGTTTCTGCGGGTTCCAGCCCCAGAGCGTACCAGTGCCCGCTCCGCCTTCCTCGGGTCATCCAGGAGCCCCTGGGTGCTGGCTCAGAACACCAAGGATTTCACTGGCAAAGAGACAAGGCGGCCCGGACACTGCCCGGCCGCGAGGCCGCAGCGGAGCCCAAGGCGCCGGCGCCCGCAGCACGCGCGGCGCACTCGCAGCCGTCACTGCTGCGCGCGGGCCTCCGGACGCCCGCGCCCGAGACTTCATTTCCCAAGATGCTTCGGGGCGGGCCGGCCGGAAGGCTGTGCGCCCTCCGCAGAGCATGATGGGGGATTTGGAGATTTCCATCATGGCGGCTTCCATTTCGGGCTACACCTTCAGCGCTGTGTGTTTCCACAGCGCCAACAGCAACGCCGACCACGTAGGTGCCGGGCCCCCAGTCGCGGCCGCTGGGACCCCCAGCCTCTGTCTCGGGCCGGCGCCTGCGGCCTAGCAGGGGGCACTCGGCCCGCTCCCCTGGCTCCCGGGCCGGCCCGAATCGCTAGTGAACCGGGCGGCTCCCGACCCAAGCGAGCTGCTGCTGCCCCGGCTCCTTCGCCCCCGGGTTGGGCCCTCACTCGGTGCCCTCCGCTGCCCCGCTGTCCCCCATTTAGCAAAGCTGTCTCGCCTGGCGACCGGTAGTCTCAGGAGTCGCTTAGTGGAGACCAAGCGCCTGCCACTCCCTGAGAACCGGGCTGCCAGACTTGGAGAGGAGCGCCCGGGGTTGAAAAGGAGCTTGCCGAGGCCACCTACAGCGCCTGCTGGTCCCACCGATTGTCCTGGGGTGCGACGAGGGAAACACTAGCTGTCACTGTTCTTACTTGTTAGATAACAGCCGTGTGTTTTCTTTGCCTCGATAGAAAATGGAGAACGTAAACAGCGTTCTGTGCGAGGTCTGCTTGCCTCGAAGTTGCATGTTTAGTTCCTTGGCGACTGTTCTAAGACCTCGGAACTAGTCGCAGTGAAAAAGGGAAGTGGCAGGCTTGTGCATGAGCGGTGGGAAGTGCAAAGGCTTTGGAGGAGCTGGGAGCAGAGCCTGCCTGCCTCAGTGTCTGTTTTCAATAGTCTTTTTATTGTCACGGGCCTCGGGATGGACATTCTTTGTAAAATCAGAAAATTTTCATCTTAAAGCACGTATTTAGTTTGCTCACCACATTGGGGGTTGATTTTTGAAAACGTTAATAGCGAATTATTCAAATTCGCTATTATTATTATTATTATTCAAATTCGTGAAATATGAGGCGTGGGGAAGGTAGATGTGGGTACCAGCAGAAAAAAAAGACCAGAATTTGATGTCAGCAATATTAGTTTCCATTAATAAGAACTGATTTCATAGACATGTGATTCCATTAGTAAATCGGATGGCATTAAATTATCCCTTTCATCTCTTCGATGTTGAGGGAAGAGATTAATGAGAGGAATTTACAAAACATTGTTGTTTACAGAGGTAGCTCCTGTCTCTGGGCATCAAGGGCTTTGATACCGCAGCCATCTGTTCAATAATGTAAGGCAGTTTCACATATAGGTGGTTTGTGATACTCCTAGTGTTGGTGATATAAAATATTGCTTCAATAATGCTTCTTCACTGCTCTAGTTTTTTTTTGGGGGGGGGGCTAGTAATACCACGATTTATGTGTAAAGCAAGACTTTTATAAGAATAAGCAGCTACCTGTTGAAAAGTGGATCGTTTTTCTACAATGCTGCGAGATGCTCATGTTACTTAGATTATTACTAATTTAATTCAAGTGATACCACTTCACCTCTTTAATAGCTGCTGTGTGCCAGGCCTGGTGCTAGAGAGGCTTCATGAAATCTTCACTCCTGGCAGTAGTTTGCCATGAGTATATGTATCTTACATTACCATACCTGTTTATATTAACTGCCATAATTATCCATACGGACTACTTTAAAGTCATGTCAATTTTATTTAAAGAACCAAGGGCCCTCCCTGGTGGCACAATGGGTTAGACTGCAGCACTGAAGCTAGTCAAGGCCCCTTCACTGCAAGTTTGATTCCTGGCCCCAGAGGTGACCCACATGGCACAGCAGACCTCTCCTGGTCCACCTGCTGCTCCCCTCAGCAATGTACTTTGTCGATCTGCATATTCTGCTCCCCACACTGTCTCTGGTGAATCCTCTCACTGCTCCTGCGCCTCTGGCCTATACCCCAGTTCTGTGTGCCTTAATAAATAGATCTTTAACAAAAAGTTAAGAACCAAGAATTTACTTTGACAGTATATTCTTGTTTTGTCTAAGAAATTACTTTGAAAGCACTCATCATTCTATAGAGCTGCTGGGGTTTATATTATCCTATAGAGCGATCTTTTTCTGTAAATATTTTACAGGTAGTAAATATTTTAGACTTTGCTAGCCATTTGGTCTCTATAGCAACTACTCAGCCCTGACGTTTTAGGGAAGCAACTATAGGTAATAAGTAAATGGGGGTGACTGGTTCCAATAAAATTTTATTTATGGACACTGAAATTTGAATGTCACATAACTTTCACATATCATAAAATAGTATTCCTATTTTTCTTTAACCAATTAAAGTGTAGAAACCATTCTTAGCTTGTGAGCTGAACAGTAGCACCCGAGGCTGGATTTAGCCCACATGCTGTAGCCTGCTTACTCCTACTGGAAAGAAACTGGCTCCTGTAATCCGGACTGGTAATAAACAAGCATTCATTTTGTATGGGGCTTTAGGGTGTCATTTTAAAAAAAATACTTATTTATGCACACAGAACCAGGGTACAGGCCAGAGGTGCAGGGGCGGTGAGAGGATTCACCAGAGACAGAGTGGGGAGCAGAACAGGCAGATGGACGAAGAACACTGCTGAGGGGAGCAGTGGCAAGACAGGAGAGGTCGGCTGTGGCTGTCTCTGTGCTGTGCGGCACCTCACACCAAAGGGCTACAGCCAGCTTCTCAGTGCTGCGCTTTAACCCCTTGCGCCACCAGAGAGGGCCATAGGGTGTCTTAATGTCACCACTATTTCAAACTGAGGACTCCGATTGAGTTGCCAGATAAAGGGCATGCACTGAAATTTGAACTTCAAAGAAACAGTATTTTTTAAATATAAGTACATGCCAAGTACTACATAAAAATTATTTGTTGTTTATCTGAAATTCAAACTGAACTAGGCTTTTTTGTGTTGTTTTGCTAAATATGTCACTCCTTGACGAACACTTGGAAACTACAGACAGGTGCTTAAGGGCTTAAGTTCTGTAGGAATTTGAAACTTTTTTTTTTTCCACTTTGATTAAAAAAGTGTTTCAACCTGTTATAAACAGAAAGCTTCTCTTTTGTAATGAGAACTCATAACTGATAACTTTTCAACGATCAAACAAACTTCTGTAGATGTTTCTCAAACTGGTAGTCATGGACACTCAAGTCTGAAAAAAAAATATTTTCAAGTTATCTAAATAGTGTTCAATTTGAGAAGTGCCCTATACATGAGTTTGAGATTTTAGGACAGTTCATTGCCCTAATCCAGTCCAAGACCATGCTGTAAAGCCTCTGCCTCCCCCCCACCCCCACAGGCCCTCACATCCAACTGGAAATGTTTTAAAACTAGGCAACTGCTCTGCTTGGTTTGAAGCTCAACCTAGAATAGAGTCATGTGGTACGAGGACATTGCTTCTCATGTTGCCTCACCCAGTGTTGACGGAGCCCTGCTAGGTACGTGGCCCTTGTGAGGTGCCAAGCTATAGCAGTGAACAGGCTCTCCCCGCCCTAACGAACTTGGATTTTAGTGGGAGGGAGGCATTTATTGATTGATCTGAATGTGTAATACGTGAGTGAGAAGACTGAGGAGAACAATGCAGGCTGACAGGAAGAGTGCGCGGCAGACCCTGTGGCTACGGCATTGCTGGGAAGGCCTCGCTGAGGCTCTGATAGGGGCCAGTTGCCTAAAGGGCCCGATGGAGGGAAGGTGATGGGCCAAGTGGGTATGTGGGGAGGGAGATCCAGCCAGCCGAGAGTTCTCTACAGGGATGTCACTGGGCTTTGGAGTGTCTGTGCTCAGCCACACTTACTCTGAACTTGACACCAGGCTCTTGGACTGTGAGGTCAGCTCTGAGGAGCTCGAAGTTGATCTTGCTATGTAGGTTCCCCAGCGGCGTCACTCAGTTAGCCTCTGTATTTGCTAAAGGAAACCTTCCATGTGGGGGTAGCTTTGCCTTACTGATGACACCCTGGTTTCCCATGTCAGCCCGTACAGGAGCAAGCAGGTGGGTGTTGTGTTAACTTCTTATTCTTTCATCATTTTCTGTGTTTTTAAATCAATGAAATCAGTTTTACGCTGTCTTAGGAAAACAATTTTCGACGGTTTCTGCTTCCTGAGATTTTTTTACTTTGGTTTTTACACTTCCTAGGATTTAAATGATGACGAAGCACTACTAATTTTCACTTGGGTGAAAACAGAGTACTCGAGGGGATAAAAGTAGTTCACCTAGCCGTGGGCTTCTTTTTTCAATCCAGTGAACAGCTGTGTTTCTGATTAGCTTTGTCTTGCATGAGGGGCTGTAGTAGTTTACATGGCAAACTTGGATTACCATCAACATCATGATGAAATTCTGTCCTCGATTCCTCTTAACGCCAGTAAGAGGAGTCTGTCTGCAGCTGTTTTCTTTCCTTGCTTTCAGGAAGGGTTTTTGCTGGGAGAGGTCAGGCAAGAGGAAGCCTTCAGCATCAGCGACTCACAGATCAGCAACACAGAACTTCTGCAAGTGATTGGTAAGTGAGCCAGTGCTGTGCCGGCCTCTGGGTGTGCTGTTTGGTTTCCATGGATCGAAACAGTACATCGAAGGTAACCAAATCACAGTGCAAATTACTGTTGCTGATAAAATGAAGTAAGAAGACAGGGGAGACTTGCAGAGCATCCTTGTGAGTGTAGCATCAGTGAGCTGTCTCACCCGCCGGCCGCTCCCACACTCGCTGACTGGCTGTGTCCTAATGCACTTAGTGCTCACATCAGAGTGGTTAGCATCAGATGCGCACACTGGCTTGTCCCCTTGCCAGCATCCCACTGACCTCATCTGTACTCGGCCCTCCGGGAGGGATCTGCCAAGGATGTGCTCACTTGTTTCCATAAGCTGTTGGCTACATCTGAGCATCTCACTAAGTAGCAGCTCCTTCAGCTACGCAGCTGACATTTACTGAAGGATGTCCATGTGTAGGTCATGAGCTAGAGGACCCCCCCAGACCCGGCCTGTCTCCCAGCGGCACGGGAAGATCAGGACAAGTATGCAGAAATTCCAGGCAGGCCTAGGTGCTAGATGAGCGTTGTAGGAAAGGAACAGAGGAAGTCCCATGTGTTGGAAGAAATTGCTAGTGGCTGAAGTCAGGAAGATGAACTTCGGGCCCATGGGTGCTATGTCAGAGGAGCACAGAGCCAGGGGTCCAGAAACACCCAGGGCCTCCCTCGGGTGTGGTTCTGAGAAGGTGAGTGGTCTGAAGGACTGCTGGGAGTGAGGCCAGTTGGGGTTCCCGCTCCAGTCTCGGACCCGATGGCCCTCTAGCACCCTGCTCGGGAGACCAGGGTGAGGAGTGAAGGGAGGTAGACTTGGGGAGGACAAGGGAGTGAACAGCTGGGTCTGTCAGACCCGCCCGTCACAATCTGGTTTGTAAGCGTTGGTGTGCAGAATGTAGCTGTTTTCTTCAGCTTTGTTTTACTCGACTCCTTGAAATTCTAAAGTCGAGGCTTTGGCCACATCAGACATCTGCGTAGTTCCTTATTGTTTGCACTTGGGTTTCAGAATTCATTTGGCAGATGAAGGTTCAATTGTCAGTGGCACTCAGCCGACAGCAAAGTGCAAGACCGCTGGAATCTGGTCTGATCACAGCAGCGGTATTCTCATCAGCATTCTGGCTACTTAATTTTAAGAAGTGGAATGCAAGAATAATTCAGATTCAGCAGCATAATGTCCTGAGGCTAATTCATAAACTTCCAGTTCTCGCAGTAAATACCAGTCCCCGTGGAGATGGCACCAGCTGTAGCGTCCCGTCAGAAAGGTCTTGGCAGCCCTTTGCTGCCAGCCTCTGGTTAAGAGTTGCGCTCAACTTGGAATATTGATGAATCTCATGGACAAAGTGTCTGCTAATATCAGCTTAAATGTCTGATTTTCAGGGTAGTTGTTTTCTTTTTAAAATGACTATGTTAGAAACTGTCAACTAAGACTCTGGAGAACGGTTTGAAAAGCCAGGTGTGAGGGGAAGGGCCGAGAGCAAAGTTTTGTCCCACAGCGGGGAGGAACGTTCTGGCAGACCATAGACTCCAGGGGGAGATGTTTTAAACGACATGAATGGACCATACTTACTTTGTTGAGAAATGCCGGAGTCCACGCCCAGAAGTGTTAGTTTACTCCAGACAAAAAGGAGGACTCTGTAGATAGCACATTTTGTGCCCAGTCTACATCTTGTTGAATACGTGTCCATTTCTTTTTTGTAAAGATTGATTTCTTTATTCATACAGAACTGGGTACAGGCCAGAGGTGCAGGGGCGGTGAGAGGATCACCAGAGACAGTGGGGAGCAGAACAGACAGATCAATGAAGTCCACTGCTGAGGGGAGCAGCGGGTGGGTCAGGAGAGGGCTGCCACGCCCTGAGGGTCACCTCTGGGGCGAGGATGGAACTCGTGGTAAAGCGGCTTTAGCTTCTTAGTGCTGCGCTGTAACCTGCTGCGCCACCAGGGAGGGCCAGATAACATGTCCATTTTAAGGGCAGCGCCACCTCCAAGCAGAGCCGCCCAGTCCTAGAGGTGGTAGGGCAGGCCACCCTGAGTCTTCTGGCCTGGGGCCTTGCAGCCCCGGTTCTGGGAGGTGAGAGGCGGGAGGCACGCAGGGTTCTCCACCGGCCCTGTTCACCCACCGGGAGGGGCAGCAGCACCCCAGAGCGAGACGCCACAAGAGCAGGACCCCGGATTCCGCACCGCCCAGGGGCGTTAGGCTCCCAGAGGTCGGTCCCGGCCCGCAGTGCTGTCAGGGGTGCGGCCGTGGCCTTGGAGTCCCGGCCATAGCACCATCTCGTGGAGAACTCGGACTGTCTTCAGAAAACACCACTTGGTCTCTGGAGCGCATGTAGGGGCTCAGCCAGTGACGGAGCGTGCCCGGAGCGCGTGCGTGCCTTGCGCGAGCACCTTCTCGGGTGCTTTCCTGCCGCGCGCCTGCAGCCTGCAGAGCTTCCTCGGCGCCTCTGCCCTGGCCAGCCCACGCTCTTCCTGACGCGGCTGCGGGCGCCGCTCCCTGCCGTGGACCTGCCTGCGGACATTAAAAAGACGATATTCTTTCAAGCAGGAGGTGGTTTTTCCTTTTTCTTGAAGTCTAGGTCATATTTTTGCTAAAAATGCCCCACAGCCTAATCACCTTGCAGTGTCTCTGAGATAACTTATGGTGGTAGACGCTCATTTTTGGTGATAAAAGAAGACAGGTATTTCTAGGGAAGGTTTTCTTACTCGAGTCACTAAACAGCCACGCTCAGCAAATGAACTTCCCTCTCCTGAGGAGGTTTTGCATGCTCAGTAACACTGACATGGGCGCAGAAACTTCCAGGCACAGCCTCCTGCAATGTAGGGCTGTGGTTTCATTTTAATTGAGTTCACATGGTAGCCTGGAGCCCTACGGCTGTGGCTTTGTAACTAGCAGGGATAGTGGCCGCAGGAGAAGTTACTACAGACTTGAGAGGTGAGCCAGGCACTTGGCCTCACACAGCATCCTCACCTCGGCCTCCTGCTCAGAGAGCCTGCAGAAGTTGGCCGCTCTGGTTCACCACAGCAGGCCTCAGAAGCCTTCAGGATTTGCCTTCCCAAAGTCTGTTTCCCTTGGCACGGATCCACTTTGAAAGGGTTAATAGGCCCCCATCATTGGGCGCTTTCCCTGCAGGGCCCCTGGCTCAGGCTGTCCCAAGCTCTTATCCACCCCCTCCTCCCTCCCCATGCACCCAATCCAGCACTTCAGCTGCTGGTTTCTCCGGTCTAGCTCATCTTGACTGGTCCAGGGCCCGAGAGCTGCCCTCGGATAGAAGCGCCTCACCTGGGGACAAGTGAGAGAGCTTCCTCTTCCTCTGGATGATGCTATTCAGAGAATGTGCCCTGGGTTTAAATGTGAAGAAAATGCATGACCCTCCCTCAGTACAGCCAGCACCTGTTGGGAGGAGGAGAACTATTTACTAAGATTTTGGTTGGAAAAAAAATGCTGGGTTATGTTTTAGTTGTCTTTATCTCACGTGGTTAACTGCAGTGTATTTCTTCTTTCTCATTACAGAAATCCATAACCATCAACCTTGTTCCAGACTTTTTAGGTAAGCCACATCTTGCTTTTTGTCCTTATTAAAAGATTAATGGGTTACAGTCCAGAGCCTTGCGGCCGCAGCCATAAAACCATGTGTGAGACGCCCTCCCAGCCCGCTTCTGTGTTGGGGCCCAGCGTCCTCCTGGTGGCAGGTCAGGTTAGGAAAGGAGGGGGAGACAGTGTCGATGTTGGCCTCCATGGCCTGAAATGGTCTAGAACAGCCTTCTAAGCAGACTCTTGAGCCAAATGAAAAGAAGCTAATCAGCAATCATCAGCAGGTAAAATAGTTTAAGGTGTTTTCAAGAGGAATTTAAAAAGGTCGTGTTCAAGTGGAAAATATAAGGAAACGGCTTTGACGTGTTTTTGGATATTGAAGTGCCCGTACACCTTTGCATATTAGGGCCACGTAGGGACAGAAAACTAGGACGAGAGACATCAGAAGGGAGAATGAGACAGTCTGGGCGCCCCGCCACTGCCTAGGCCTTCCTCCGAGGCCTCACGTGCTTCCACTGATGACTGCGTGGCAACTTGAACTCTGCTTGTTAGGCCACCCTGGGCCTTTCCTCTACTTTTCCGGAAGCCAGGTCGCTGCTCGCCTCCCAGGCTGGCCACTCTGAGCCACTCACCCATTCCCCCACACACCTACCTGTTATTACTTCAGAGGCTTGTCATTTTGCTAGAGAGCTACCTGTGCAGGATACTTCAAGGTGTGTCCTGGCCGCACAGTACCTGCAGACCTGGCCATAGCCGCTGTCCCTGCTCCTGGATCATTGATCTTACTGCAGCTCAGGGAACGTGCCCTGCTGAACCTGGCTCGCAGTGTGTGGGGAGGGTGGCACTCCAAAGGCCACCTCCAGTGGTCGTCAGGGCCAGCGAGGGCCTGCACCGTGACCGCAGGGAGGCCCCTGCCTCGGCTCTGGTGGCCCCAGGGTCTTCGGCTACAGAAATAGAAATAAAACTTGTTGCCCCAAACTACTGCTTACTTCCCAGGTTGGAGGCAGGAAGACATGGACTCTGGTGAGAACGGGTGGGGCTGAGTGCCTTAGTCTCAGAAAATGACCTCCTGTGTCTTTTATTTTCACCGGTAATTGATACTTAAAAACAAGGGAAAGATGTCACAACTACTTAAAACCGCACACTTTGTAGTTAATTGCTGTCAGCGCCTCCCACACTCCATCCCGCCTTGGATATGGCAGCTCCTGAGAGCTTTGAGGCCAGAAGGCTCCTTAAGTTGGCAGCACTTAGACCGAAGCCGCTAGTTGCCGATTGAAGACAGGTCTCTGTCACTGAACTTAGCAAGAGATGTCCCAGGGAGACAGCCACAGATGCATGTATCCTTGTGCGATACTATGTGATTTTAATAAACTTTGTTTTTCTCTTAAAAACCCCCAGTTTTTATGACTATGCAAGCAAAGTTAACGAGGAGAGTCTGGACAGAATTCTCAAGGACCGCAGAAAGGTACGTCCTGCTTGTCGTCCACACTCCTTTGGAATCATTCCTTGGCAGCAGCTTGAGAACCAGAAAGGAAGATAAGCTGAAGCCGTCAATCTGTTGTTAGTGTCAGAGTTCTGCTGACAAGTAGGTTTTAGAGATCATTTGTGGAGAAGCCGATACTTGTCATTTATCAATAGGAAAATAAAGACCTGCAGCGTGAGTTCTCACCTGGCGGTGCACAGGCTCTCGGAAACTGCAGCTCGAAGCGGAGGACACAGCGAGCGGCCCCCGAGTAGTGCCATTCTGCCCCGTTGCGCGGCGCTCTCTCTTTTCGACCAGTATAATAAAGCAGCGCCTGATGGAGTTAGGCTACTCCCAAATAATGATTCCATTATGTACAAACCAGAATCTTAAATAACGAACCGGCACACAGAATATCACAGTATTCAGTGGATTCTGAGTGGTGATAGTTTTCCGCTTTGTAATTTCAGAGATAATTCTGCAAATATTTAAGGTACATTCCTTAACTTTATAATCAAGAAAAATATTTCTCAGAAACCTAACTTGTTGCAAACACCTTTGGATATACTATTCTCAGTTAACGTGGCATATGGAGATTTTTCCAAAGGCTCGTGTGTGCATTGTTCCTGTCAGCATCTGCATAGGCTGTTCAGGTTATTTGTGACAAGTCTAAATAGACTTGGAAATGAACCAAAGTTTTCTAGCTGCAGCATTATCACATGGTCTCATTTATAGTTTACTCTGTAATAACGTGTATGTAGTTTACTTTTTCCTGGGTGTATTCATTCTAGGAAAAACAGCTTGGGGGGGGTTAAGTTTCCAACTTGTTAAAACAAAATGCTTTGTAAAGAAGCATGCATTATTTTAAAAATTACCTGTGCGTTTAAAGACTCGTGGCAGTTTGGGCCTTGGTTCTGAGGCATCTGAAGAGGGGTTCAGGAGCTGAGTGAGGTACAAGGAGAATAGACCAGTGACCTTTCTCAGGTGCAGGGCTTCGTGGTATGATGAGAGGCTAGGAGGTGATCGGGCTCAGCAAAGGTGGCCCAGTCCCCGCCCCGTGAGAGAGGGGGTCGCCACAGCCAAAGGCAGTCTGGCCCCCCTTCTCAATAGCTTGCCTGGGGCTAGATATTCTGGAATCTCTTGGCAGGTCATCTCTCTCACCCAGGCACTGCCTTAACCTCCTCTCTCATTTATTTCTATATTTCGGGTAATGAACTGCCCCTATACAGTCTAAAAACGTTGACGAAGTGTGTTCCATAAAAGCTCTTGCTGGAGCACAGTTTTCTGGAGCACTAGCTACTTATTACAAATACCAGGAGGTCTTATTTTAAATAGATTAAAAAATTAAAAGTGGGGAAAATGAATAAAGAGTATGAACAGGAAATTCACCCAAAAATCTACAAATGGCTATGGAATAAAGGAAAAGTTATTCAACCCTAATCAGAAACACAAGTGGAAACAACATGATACTATTATTTTTGCCCATCAGATTGGCAAAAGCATAAAAGGCTTGCTAATTTCCAGTGTTGGCAAGCCTGTGGGTAACAGGGGAGCTGTAGTTGGTGGGAATGTAAATTGATACAGACATTTAAAGGAGAGTTTTGCAATAACAGAATTTTAAACACACAGTTCCACCTCTAGGAATCTGGCCCAAGTAAATAATTGCATCTAGGCACAAAGATATGAAAACATGATTGAACACTGGAAGCTCTATGCCAGGTCTCACTCTCCACATTTTCCAGATATTGACACATTTAATCCTTGCAACAGCCCTTTGAGGTAAATTGTGGTTAAGGCTCCCCCTAGCCCCCCATAGTGTAGTTGAGGCAGCTATGGCTCATTAACTTGCTTAAGGTCACCAGCAAGTAGTGATGGAGCCAAGGATCCAGTCCTTGCCAAATAGTGAGGACTTTGAAGGTTAAGTCACTTAGCTGATTCCTCTGCACTGGGGAGGTAAAGACTCCCTGAACAAGAATGAGGGGCCAGGCTACCACATAGAAGGTCTCTAACAGCAAATGAAAAAAGGAGATGAGAATTTCAGCCCATTCTGTGTAAAAGCAGAAGTCTGAGTAGGTATGTAAATGGACAGAAAAAGATCTAGAAGGCAGGGGATCACATTTAGAAATGTGAAGTTGGGGTTTTGGGGAAGGGGTCGGGAGGCGCTGCTGATGGTGGGAGACTACTTCGCAAGGATTTTTATTTCTTTCTTACTCTATAATTGAAAATAAGTTGAAAAAAAGAAAAGGACCTTGACACTGTAGTTTTGTCTGGAGCCACAGTAGTGGGTAGGTGCCCCCCTGATCTGTGCTACACGCTTGTAGAATTGGGTTTGTCATCTTGAGAGACAGTGGACTGGGCAGCATCACCTTTGCTTCACAGGGTCAGGATTCTCAAGGAAGTGAAAAGGTCATGTGCAGGTTTTAATTTTATAGAACTTTCTGCTAAAATGAATGTCTTTTTCTTTTTCAATTAAAGGTAAGAGTTTGTTGCTTCAAGGATTTGGAAATTGTTTTCTATAGTGTTTGTCAAGGGCAGGAAACACTCTGTATTTCCTGTGATAACATAATATAAAACTTTAAGGATTTTTTTTTTAAGATTGATTTATTTCTGCATACAGAACTGGAGCACAAGCCAGAGGTGCAGGACAGTGAGAGGATTCACCAGAGACAAAGTGGGGAGCAGGACAGGCAGATCACAAAGCCCACTGCTGAAGGGAGCAGCGGGCGGGTCAGGAGAGGTCTGCTGCGCCCTGTGGGTCACTCCCCAGATGGGGATTGAACTGGTGCCAAAGCAGCTTCAGCTAGCTTTGTAGTGCTATGCTTTAATCCGTTGCACCACCAGGGAGAGCCCAAACCCTTAAGGATTTTTGAAAAAAATCCAAATTTCCAGCATAAAAGCATAGATGATTTCTAACATTTAGGCTGGACAGCTTTATAGTTTATTCTAGTTTGGGTTTTCTCCCCAGAAAAGGTACAAAATTATGTCTTCTCCTCAAAAAGTTTATTGTACCACCTGCAATGCTACATTGAAAATGTTAGTCATGACTCAGGCTAATGTTTTGATACGAACATTCCCTCAGTAAGTGTCCTGTCGTCGCATGCTAAACTACTGCTCAGATGAACCCATGTTGTGTTACTGAAGCTCACACCAGCTTCAGGTTTGGGGCCGAAGCCAAAAATGCAAGTAAGAGGAAGATCTCTGCCTTCTGGAAGCATCTGCTGAAATAGATAATGAGAAACATAACAGCCATCTTAATATCATTCGTTACAAGATCCCAAAGAACACAGAGTTGATAAACGCGTCCAGTGTGCGTGACTGTTCTGGCTCCAGAAAATGTGGCGAATGTCTGGCGCAGAGGAGGGGGCCGGTCTTCGTGAAAATTTCATACGAAACGCCAGCAAAGATAGGAAAGAGGTCTATTATTTTTCGCCACCACCCAAGCCCGCTATCACAGATAGGCCTTTCCGCGTCAGCGGTGGTGTTCCTCTCGCCTGCCACTAGCCTCTCAGCTCCAGCAGGTGGAATGGGAGGTGCCCCAGTGCCAATTAACTGGACATCTCATCTTTAGAATGGGGGCACCTTTTTCTAAACATGAAGTGAGTTGATTTCCCACAGTTGCTGTCCAAAATAAAGCCTTGAGACCCCTGCTTTCCAGAAACGACAGGTGAGGTTAAAGCAGTCGGAGTCAGCATGAGGAAAAACCAGTATTCCTCCGCTCTGAGCCACTGGCCAGAGCTGTTCACCAAGTATTTCCAGAGTCCAGCCAAAGTGCTGGGCACCGCCTGGATCCCAGCAGGACTGAACGGAGAGTGAGGCGCGTCCTGGCACACAGGCGCCCACGCCAGCGTCAGGGCTCACGAGTGGGTGACCATCTGTCAGCGATGTTTCCTTACACACTTTTTTTTTTTTTAGATTTATTCATTTATTCATAGAACTGGGGTACAGGCCAGAGATGTGGAGGGTGAGAGGATTCACCAGACAGAGTGGGGAGCAGAACAGGCAGATTGACGAAGTATACTGCTGAGGGGACCAGCAGGCGGGCCAGGAGAGGTCTGCTGCGCCGTGTGGTCTCCTCCGGGGCAAGCGGGGATTGAACTCATGCGGAAGTGGCTTTAGCTTCTTAGTGCTGTGCTTTAACCTAGTGCGCCACCAGGGAGGGCCCACACACTTTTTTCCTACGGGAACCTACTTTGCCTTACAACCTCCACCTGACCCACTGGCATGTGTGGGTCAGTGCAGGCCACTGGAAAAGACTGGTCCCAGTCTCGGTCGTCACCATTAGCTGTGTGACTGAACAGAGCCTCTCCCTAGGGCTGTGGTGGCAGGAATGGGTGGGTTTTCTTCCCTTTTGGAGGGTGTCCTGGGAGATGCCTTCTCGGCCGTACTCCTGGAGGCCAGGGACTACTTCGTTCCCGGTGGTTCCTTGAAGGTGACGTGAACTCAGCAGAGAAAACCTGACTTACCCAGGAGCATGATCAATAGTAAAGATATCTGTGACCTGCCTGCAGGCTGAGCACCGTGTTCCCTTCCAGCATCGAAGTGCCGAGATGTGGTCTGAACGTATGGATTGCTTTAACATCCTACTTAACAATTTTAAGCTTTTAAACTACCTTTACTCTTAAGACAGAACTGTTACTCCGTTTGCTTCAAAGAGCTCTATGAAGAGTATTTTTCTTTCTTTCTTTCTTTTTTAAAGATTTATTTATTTATGCATACAGAACTGGGGCACAGGCCAGAGGCTCAGGGGCGGTGAGAGGCTTCACCAGAGACAGAGTGGGGAACAGAACAGGCAGATCGACGAAGTACACTGCTGAGGGGAGCAGCAGGCGGGTCAGGAGAGGTCTGCCTCGCCATGTGGTCACCTCCGGGGCAGGCGGGAATCGAACTCATGCGGAAGTGGGCTTTAGATTCTCAGTGCTGTGCCTTAACCCGCTGCGCCACCAGGGAGGGCCGAAGAAGAGTATTTTTCTAATCTAGAACTACATGAAATACGCCTACAACCGATACTTTTTTTTTTTTAAGATTTATTTATTTATTCGTACAGAACTGGGGTACAGGTCAGAGATGCGGAGGGTGAAAGGATTCATCAGAGACAGAGTGGGGTGCAGAGCAGGCAGATCGACGAGGTACACTGCTGAGGGGAGCAGTGGGCGGGTCAGGAGAGGTCTGCCTCGCCATGTGGGTCTCCTCCAGGGCAGGCGGGGATCGAACTCATGTGGAACAGACTTAAGCTTCTTTGTGCTGTGCTTTAACCCGCTGCGCCACCAGGGAGGGCCTACAACCGATACTTTTAAACTGTAGTATGCACATGAAAACTGATGGAAAGCATCCTGAATTCAGTTCCTGATGCTCCTCTTTGAGGTTCTGACGTGGTAGCTGTGGGGGGCCCAGGAGCATTGTGGGGGGCTCCCAGGGTCCACTTAGGGGCTCTGCCCTCTAGATGTCCAGAAGATCAAATCATGAGAAATACTGTTTCAGAGAGCATATCAGTTTGAGTCACTTAGCCAGTAGGTATGCTAAACTTTTTAAGTTTTGATAAATGTGTATCCCTGGAAAACTGTCATCATGGTAACATCGGTATCTGTAGAATTTTCCCCTTGCCCTGTTCCTGTCCCTTCTCCTCACTCTTCCCCACCCCATCCTGGTCCACAACACATCTGCTTTATGCCACATGTCAATTAGTTTCCCTTTTCTGGAATTTTATATGAATAAAGTCCTATAGCATATACTTCTGGGAAAAGAGGTCTGGCTTCTTTCACGCAGCATAGTTATTTGGGAATTTACCTGTGTGGTTGTTACATGCTGCCTTGTTCCCTGTGATCGCTGAGTGGGCTTTGCATGTGTGGATGAACAATTTGTGCATTTGTTCACTTTGTTTTTGCATAGATGAACTGGGGTGCAGGCCAGAGGTGTGAGAATTCCCCAGAGACAGAGCGGGGAGCAGAACAGGCAGGATCTATTGAAGCACACTGCTGAGGGGAGCAGCAGGTGGATCAGGAGAGGTCTGCTGCGCCCTGGGGGTCACTCCCTTGCCCGAGGGAGCACAGGCATTCTTGGGATAGTGCTGTGAGTAGCCCCTAGGCCACCAGGGAGGCTCCCTCTCACCTGCTGCTGGACAGCTGGGCTGTTTTCAGTGTGGGGCTGTTGTAGGTAAAACTACTATGAACCTTTGTGTGCAAGTGTTTGGACACTTCCATGACTAAGCGTTAAGATTTTGTGCAACTTTTGCTACTTTTTTCTTCTGTTCTTGTCATAGAAAGTTATCGGGTGGTACAGATTCCGGCGAAACACGCCACAGCAGATGTCGTTCAGGGAGCAGGTTGTCCACAAGCAGCTCACCCGCATCCTCGGGGTTCCCGACCTCGTTTTCCTTCTCTTCAGCTTCATCTCCACCGCCAACAATTCTACTCACGCTTTAGAATACGTTCTCTTTAGACCAAATCGAAGGTAAAGAAAGAGCTCCCACCAGCCGCGCATAAACAGGGAAAATGATGATACAATTGAGATTCATAGCTTTCAAAATGTGTGTTTTATTGCATCTTTTAAAAAAACCTTTGATATTTCTCTTTTAGCTATGGCTTTTTGTTTCTTTTTGTAGAAAGAGAATGCATTTTCCTTGTCAGTTATTGTGTAAATTAGAATCGTTTCTGAATCAAGATGCATTAGCAAGTAATGTTAATTATGCCTGAAGTCTTACAGGAATAAGCAGCTGGAAGTCGTTCTTTGCTGCTCCATAATCTATTATGCTGAAATACAATTTCATTGCTCTGGAAATGTGATTGTAATTTTGAAACATAGATTTCAAAGACAGAATTGTAAAATTGATCCACCTACTGGTTAATGAGGGTTTTGCACTCTGGACATGTTAAAGCAAACACAGTAAAAGATCCATGATCATGATGCATCTGAACATCAGAGAATGTTTCCTTCTAGAAATTCACTTGTAGAAGAAATTCATTTGACACACAGAAAATAAGTGATCAATTGTTAAATAAATAGCCATTTTCAAGACTGTTAACTCATCAGTAGGTGTGTCTACAACCTTCTCGGCACTCAGCCACTGTGGGCACGTGACGCTGTGTGAGCCATGCATGACCTTGGCCTGCAGTCGGGGTAGCTGCTTCCTGGCCCGGGCTTGTGGGGGCTCCCTGGGACCTTCTGTTGGTTCGTCCGTGTGGGCAGGGGGCGCCGTCGCCTGGGGCTGTTCCCCAGAGCAGTGTGCTAAGCCCAGCCTCCCTCTCGCCGCAGGTATAACCAGAGGCTCTCCCTTGCTATCCCCAACCTGGGCAACACTAGCCAGCAGGAGTACAAGGTGTCTTCAGTGCCAAACACTTCCCAGAGCTATGCCAAAGTCATCAAAGAGCACGGGTAAGTGGAAAGGCAGTGAGAGCGGTTTCTTTTCCTTTGTCCACGTCTGTGGAGAGATGGGAAATCAGATCCTCTCTGGACCACCACCTCTAGAGAGCCAGCATTTATTCTCCTTAGAAAGGTAGTTTACTTTCACCAGTACTGCTTTTTGTCTTCATTTGCCACAACTGACTCATTTATTTTTGCCACTGCTGTGAAAGGTGCAGCGGGCATTTGTATTTTTGAGCATCTGAAGGTGACGCGCTGCAGGCCGTGTCCACGTGGGCATTGTCGCCTCGTGTGTCGCCTGCTAGTGGGCATCCGCTGCACTGAGCATGCAGTCACAGGACAGTTCTTATATATTGGTGACATCTTTTTTCTCTCTCTTCTAGTACTGACTTTTTTGATAAGGATGGAGTAATGAAAGACATCAGGGCAATTTATCAGGTTTACAACGCACTGCAGGAGAAAGTGCAGGTAACTGGTTTATTTATTAGTTTTCGTCTTACTTCTGTAACCCAGATCCTTTGAATTCTACGTTGCCTCCCTCCCATCTAACGAATAACTGTGACCCGACTGCCGGAGTCGCCCCTAAGCGTGTGCTCCCTCCTGCCAGCCTCCCCTGCCCTTCTCCTGCCCACGTGTCCAGCGGGTCTCGCAGTGCACACCCGTGGCACTGTTTAGCACCCACATCCCACGTCTGACATCATCTCTGTGGACCGAGAGCCAGGGAGTTGCTGTGCGCACAGCTGACTGGTCCTTCCGCCACCCCGGAGGCCGTGGCCCCGGCACAGCTCCACGCCTGCTTCTCTGCCCCCTCTGCCCCCTCTGCCCCCTCCACCCCCGTCCGTGGGAGGAGCGCAGGGCCTGCGCCTGCCTGGTCATCCGTGCAGCAAATGCTTACGGAAACAGCTCCTGTGAGCCAGACCCGAGCCAGGTGTTGACACCTTTTCCCACGGTCTTTTCATCATCGCCTGGGTGTTCTTTAGAGTAATTTGCTCTAAAGCCCTGAGAACAAAAGAACCTTTGAGGACAAGAAGGAAAATGACCTAACTGGGGAGCCTCCCAGCCGCAGAAGGCCTGGCTAATGTGGAGGAAGGCTGCGTGCGAGGGGAGAGAGGCGAGGCAGGCGGCAGAGAACACCAGGAGCAGCCTGAGTGCGGCCGGGTGCCCACAGGCAGCAGCCTCTGGGAGGGGTCTGGGGCCAGAGTGCCCCACGGTCGCAGTGCCCAGCAGGACGGGCCTTCGCAGCACTCAGCCGGGACCAGCCAGCTGTCCAGCGTCTGCTCTTTCACAGTGGAAGGAACACGCAGTGAAAACCAGCTCCTTGGCCTGAAGTCATGATTGTGCAGGCGCCGAGCGCTGTCTCGCAGCCCCTGGGTAGCTGTGCTGCACTCGCTGGCGGCCAGCGCGTGTGGGCCCCGGCTCAGACCCCGCTGCCTGCGGCTTGTCTTTCAGACCCCTTTTCTCTTCTGTATTGTCATGGGGAAATTCCAAAATATACTCAGGTATTTCAGGTTTTTCAGGTTTGTTTTGTTTTTTTGATTGAGGCCACATTGGCTTGCAGCGCAGTATAGGCTCGAGGGCTGCATGTTCTCCATGTCACACCCACCCCCGCTCCTGGGGTCCAGCCACCCGACCCTCCCGGACCCCCCCTTCCGCTCTGGTCAGCACCACTCTGTTGTCAGAGTGAAGGGTTGGTTTTGTTTTTGCTTTTCTGTGTTCCCCAGAGGAGTAAGATCTTTAGCTCCCCCGTGGCTGGCTTCACTAGCGCACTCCATCCAGGCCCCGTGTCACGAGTGGCACTATCCCACCTTGTCATGGGAGAGTATCCCACTGTGTGTCT